AAAACCGAACTTCTCCTTTAAAGTATTTCTGATTCCTGGTTGATGGGACAGGTGTTGTGAATGAAACGGTGCCCAGCTTGAAAGAGCTCCTGTGTGTCGTATTGAGATTGGATCCCAGTTTCCTTTTTTTCAAAAGAAATTCCTCTAATTTTTAAACCTGAATGCATCGTGTTTTTTTTTTTTTTTTGTTCTAATTCAGATTTTATCGAAAAATGTAATTTTAAGTTAAATTAAGTCAAAAAGATATAAAATTCCAAAATTATGGAATCCTGGCCCCCATGTACATTTGGTCTAGAACCGCCACTGGCATTGATGACTGAAAGACATCTAATGTTTACTACAGTGTGTTCAATTCATGTTAATGTGGATTTAAAGACATTTCATTTAATGTGGAAAAAATTGCAGGGTGAATATTAAAAAAAAGTCTAATAAACCAAAACTTTCGCGACCCCCATGCAGTACCTCTGGGGACCCCCTAGGGGTCGCGGACCCCCTGTTGAAGACCTCTGCCCTAGGAGGATGGAATGATGGAGGGAATGAATAGATAGACAGACTGGCGGACGGACGAATAGACAGACAGAGACAGACAGATTGATTGATAGATTGATAGATTCCTGGTTTATGAGAGAAAATAAGTGTAGAATGACTGTCACCTAACTTGTGTGTTTTCATTTGGATGAACAATATTATACCTTATAGAAGACACCTTAAGCTGACATTGCCCAAAATGCAACCCAACCTAACAAAGTAAAGTGGTGCTTTTGTATGTGTTAAACATACTTCCTGTGTCAATGCAATCAGGGCCGTAACAACCATTGAAGTCACAGAGGCCGTGTCCTCTGTCATTTATTCGTTGCTTAAATTTTGATATAAACAAAAATAAATTACAGTGAAACTGACTGTAGCAAGATGATATATGTCTCCCACCAAAGCCACAATTAGCACGACTGTTTAATTATCCTAAGTCATTGTAAACATGAACTGTGTATGGTAACTACCATAGGCAAGCTACTGCCTTGTCAGTCCATCAGTCCAAGTACAAAGTTGAATGAACTCCATCAGTACCGGTCGTTAGTCAATTTACCGACCGAACAGTGTATTCTCATTATCAGTTCGAATGAAATCGTACAAAAAGTTGTGCACAGTAATTTCGTACATTTTAGACTTTTTTTTCTTCATATTTCGTCGTAGTTTTACGTCTTGCCTCGAGACGAGATATCCTTGCGCATGCGCATCTTACGCACCATTCAATAACATAGAATTTAACATATTATTAACCCTGACCCTAAGATACAAAACAGCAAGCAACCTAGTGAGAGACATCAAGAAGTAATTATTGCACTGTTTTTCCCAGTTTTACGTCCGTCCGCGGATCTGCTTTTTTCGTCTGTCTGGCTGCGCATGCGCACTGATCTGTTTTTTCGAGGAAAAACGTCCAAAACGTACAAAATACTGTGCATAACTTTTCGTACGATTTCATACAAACTGATAATGAGAATATGTTGGACCGAACCAACATCCATTATGCGATTCAGTGGCGTAACAACACAACAAAGTAACATTATCTGGATGGGCCACATATGAAGCAAAACACGTGATAAAGGTTCAGGATATGGTGACAGTTCCATAAATCTGCAAAGAAGGTGCAATTTTCCAATTCTCAGTAGTAAATGATCACACATCACAAGGAAAAATATTGATGGCGCACCTTGAATGGACCCATTGGTGACAGCGCACCACCACATGTTACAGACGTCCGAAGTTCCAAAAACGAATTTCTTTTCTGGAATCCACTTAAGTACCTCTTTTGGATATCCACCGTCGCTAACACATTGAACCTAACATTTATGGTTTTAACCTACGCTCTGGGTTAACCATGTTGTAATTTTAATGTTCAATGCCAATCCAGGTTGGATGCCACATTAATGTTGTGGATTTGTATTCTATTCATTCCCAGCCAGCTGGGAGTTTATATTTCTGACAATTTAATATGTTTATTGCCCTGCCCATAAGGGGTGGTAAATATCTTATTTAATCAGATATTATTTCGGCTGTTATATATTTGTTTATGAACACACACCCTACTGGCTGTGTGTTGGAACCATAAATGAAAGAGGGATTCGAGCACTAATCATGGTCAAACAATTAATTCTGCACATGCACGGAATAAATTCACCACAACTTCTTTTCAAAATATAAGAGTTTATTAACAAAAATCATTCAGCTCCAAGTCAAAGATATTTCAGTTTAACACTATTAACTAAAACTAGTGAAACTCAACAAAAATTAACTACTATGTACAAAGAGGAAGGAGAAACATGGTTGGAAACCATATTACAGTTTCAGGTGGATTTTGTGTTTGAAACCAAACTTTATTTGAAAGAATTTGAAATGTGATGAAATTAGCTTTTCACTATGTCATAACACACTCATCTAGAGCAATTGGAATGTTTTCAGACCAATTTACAATGCAAATCCATGAGGTGTAAGGAAATACTGTTATTTCTTCACATTCTATGCCGTATGTCAGCACAAGATCCAAAGTATGAAGATGAGAATGTGTGGGACTATTCACATTTTGAACAAGATAGCATTAAAGGCTGCTCTTAAG